GTGTGATTGGATGATGGCAGCTCATCCTGAACCAATCAGAATCAGAATACTTTATTAATCCCTGAGGAAATTATGTGCGTTACAGTTGCTCCAAGAAGAAATGGTAAAAATAGCAACAGTAACAAACTAAACTCCAAACAATACATTATGTTACAGATTTTACACGTTTAAGAAACAGCACTAATACAAACAGATCACTCAGTTATAAATATCAAGGACTAACAGAGGTGATGATAAATAAATATAAAGAAAATTGACAAGAATATTCCAGAGTAGAAAAGAGCGTGTGTAAAAAGGCTGTAGCTGTTGCAGTGTTCACAGTGTGTTAGGTGGAGGAGTTGTGCAGGGAGCCACAGGCAGGAATGATTCCTGTGTTGTTCAGTGGTGCACTGTGGGTAATCTCAGTCTCTCACTGAGCGTGCTACTGTCACTAGCCAGTACATCATGGAGTGGGTGGGAGGTGTTATCCACGATTGTCCTTATCTTGGACAACATCTGCAGAGGGAGTGTTCGCCTGGGCGCCAAACAGCCTCGGATCGTCACTGCCTCCTGGCGTGAATAATCTCGAACCTGCTCTGTGAGAAAGCAAACGTAGCTGTGACCATGAAACGAGCAGCCGTGGTCATACCTGCACTTCCTGCTAATGCCGTGTCTCTTCCTTCAGTCCAGTATAGTCCAGTCTGACTCTGACGAGGAGGAAGCTTCTGCTCGCTGCAGCCTCAGCAAGAACAAAGGTACGGACAGAGCAGCACAGTAAACTGCACGATTCGATCATTGAAGAGAGTTTTTGTGTCTTTTATATACGAATTAAAAATGTGCATGGAAACTAACTGTACATCAAAGATGGATGTAGCCTCTGTGACATCGCCTGTCTGTTAGCGAGGTCACATGACGCGAGGTCTGAGCTGTGGCGTTTGCCTGCGGCAGGTTTCCTGAACGTACTGATGAACTGCCAGTGGCAGAGTTTACTGTGTCGGGTGGAGGCCGGGGTCCTCAACATGTTCGCGGAGGAGGAGGCGGTGCAGGGGGAGCGCTCGCCTCAGTACACCGTCCAGCTCAGAGGCTGCGAGGTCAAACCCGACACCAAGCACTGCTACAGGATCACACTGAGCATGCTCGATGACCAGATGGCGGTGCTGGAGGTGAGCTGGTGGAACAGGGAGTTTGAATTCATCCACTTCAACTTGTTACTCAATAACGTGTCCTCCTTCCTTCCTTCCTTCCTTCCTTCCTTCCTTCCTTCCTTCCTTCCTTCCTTCCTTCCTTCCTTCCTTCCTTCCTTCCTTCCTTCCTTCCTTCAGGTGAGCAGCTCAGAGGAGAAGCAGCGGTGGTTGAAGCTGCTGCAGGACGGCGCTGCGTATTACTGTCACCATGACAACAAAACACAGGAGCACTCAGGTGTAACTCTCAGGTACGAGGTGCATCATCTCAGGCTGAAACACCAGCTAGTGGTCACATGTGGTACTGCAACCCCACGTTTATGGATCAATCATAATAACATTTATTATAATAAAACACTGAATGTCACATTCGGGTAAATCAGGGCTGTCAAATACACAATCGCGACAATCATTTTATTCATTTGAAGATTTTTTGAATACAAGTGCTCATTCGTATCTCTGAGCTGTCAGCACCTGTCAAGCCCTTTGAATCGTCTCTTATTTTTACACGCAGTCCTGATTCTGTGAGCGTGATGTTCATATTTCACCAGCGCAGCGTCGCTAACTCCGATAAAGCTTTATCTCGGCTCTGAGTTGAGGGCTGATTTTGCTTCCTCTCGTCCTCAGTGGGCTGCAGACTCGCAGGTTTCCCTCCTCCAACACCTACATGGACGACCCCTTCCACCTGAGCGAGCCAGGCCGAGACCAGCCCATCTACTCCAACACCTCCGTCCTGGAGCACATGGTACGGGCTGCACCGCAGGACATTCGGATTTAAGATAAGATCAGATGATCCTTTAATAGTCCCACATGTGGGAAATTTTTGGTCACAGCAGAAAGTCGAAGAGCAGTAAAAAATTAAGAGAAAAACAACAGAATAGAATAAGATAAACAATCTTATTTGGAGTAACTCGTAACGTCGCCTGTATGTCGTCTTTCAGCTCCACGGCTCTCAGGGTTCGATTCGCTGCAGCTCGGTGTCGTCCAAAGGCTCAGTGACCTACAGCAACACCGTCCTCAGCAGCCACAGTGAGTCCTTATGATGCTCAACTTCAAAATAAAAGACTTTCCCTATATTAGGTTTGCTGGGCTTTTATTATGAAAATTGAAAGTTTCTTAAAAACCTGGCGATGCTGATTCAGAAATGGTCAACATGAACCACAATAACAGCCGTGTGCATGAACCAGTGTCTGAAAACTGAGATGCCTTAAACCTGCACGCTTTCTAGTGTCCAGCAGGGGGCGACTGCTCTACTTTCAAAATCAGATCTGATCGTATCTAAAGTGTAAAGTTTGGATTTAATGTGAACATAAGAGCATAAGAGGTAAACGCTATGGACCAACAGCTGGCCAAAATCACTGATAAGCTCCTATCATCAGCTGTTAGTGAGCAGTCCTGGATAAACAGTATAACGTGTAGATGGAGTACTGGGTGGAGCTGATGGAGGACCGGTTGGATGCTCTGCGTTTCAGACAGGAAGTCGGCCGAAGTGCAGCGAAGCATTCAGAAGCTCGAGCTGACCGACAGGAAGGTAGTGCCGCTGAGGGCGGGGTCAGAGATCAACCTGGCATCCAGCACAAAGCAAAACAAGCGCACCTCCTTCAGACAGTCCCTGGCCATCTACAGTGAGCGCGCTCAGGTAGGAAAATTGAACCTGGACATGTGTGGATGGGGGAGGGTGCATGAACGACCTGTGAGAGGCCGTTGAGCGTTGATAATATATCCACTCTGAACCTGGTCTCTGCTGGTCCAGGCTGGCATCCTGAACCCTCTGCTGCGACGGACGGCCTCAGCTAAAAACTCCCTGAGACGGGCTCCTTCGGCGCTGTTCATCGAACATGGAAAAGTTTTCCAGAGGAGGAAGGTGAGAGTCGCACAAACACAGACGGCCCCGGCTCAAAATGCTACTGAAGCTTCATATTCAAAGATTCAAAGTTATTCACACTGATCAGGTTACAGTGACATCAGCCTCATTTCTCTTTATCCTCATGTATCCAGCCATCAAATGTATAACTTATTATACAATTCAGGCTTATTTACTTAGCACCAATTCACAACATTCACCTCAGGGTGCAAAGTAAAATGACTGTATGGAGGAAAATCTCCCTTTTAACAGGAGGATTCAAGGTCACCTGGTCCAGCCCTAACTATATGCTTTAGCAAAAAGGAAAGTTTGAAGCCTGATCTTGAAAGTAGAGATAGTGTCTGTCTCCTGAATCCAAACTGGAAGCTGGTTCCACAG